AGACAGACAGACAGGCGGCAGGGTTAGACAGACAGACAGGCAGGCAGACAGACAGGCAGACGGCAGGGTTAGACAGACAGACAGATGGCAGGGTTAGACAGACAGACAGACAGGCAGACAGGCAGACAGGCAGACAGACAGACGGCAGGGTTAGACAGACAGACAGACAGGAGGCATGGCGACAGGGCAGGACCGCTGCTTCCAGAGAAGAACGGCTGCAGGAACTAAAATCGAAGAACCAGGTTTTGGTTTTCCTGCAGTGAAACGATGCAGATCTGAACATTTTTTATAAAACAGTTTGCAGCTTTTCCACGACTGCTGTTGCTGTCATCATCTTGAAAGTCATTATCAGCCAGCTAAAGCAGGCGATGACATATTTACTCATGTTGCACGAATCACCAAATAGATCATGTTGAAACTCAACAAACCCTTAACATCTACGACTTAACTTTTGAATTCAACCCAATTCAAGATGGCCACCGCAGCTAACCTTAGAAAACGCAACTCTGTCAGTTTAACATGGAGTTAAAAACTTGGTGTGGCAGTAGCTGAGAGTGGTTTGTGACACACACTCTGAGCACCAACAGATCACGTGAGGTGTTGCACGAAACCTAACGAGCTGAACGTTTGCAGCTGCAGTCCAAAAACTGTAACCAACAAACAACAACCATGAAACAAAGTTGTTTTCCTTCTTGTTGCTGACGTTCTGCAGCTTGTTGGAGCGCGGGGGCAGCAGCTGAGCTCGGGTGCTGCCGCCAGCGGCCCGGTTCTGTCTCTGAGCAGAGCTCTGCTTTGGGCCTCGGTGGGTCCAGGTTGAGTTCGGTCTACGGGCCCAACATGTTGCACACGTCGGCCGTTTGGTCAGGAGCTGAGATTCCTGCAGCGCCGCCTCACCAAGAACAACCGGACAGACTGAGTGAAGAACCAGGACGAGTCCAACATGGCTGCCAGTGACGGCCTCAGCTGCAGCTTTGATTATCAGCTGCCACTGAAGACAAGATGGCGTTTTTCTCCACAACAGATTTAATTAATTTCTACAACTCGTTAGTGTTCGAAGCCAACCTGATTCAACATGACCGCCACGGCCAGCTGACCTTAAGAAACAAACATGGCTGCCAACCTTGTGGATAATGAGATAAATTTGGTGTGGTAGTAGCTGAGAGTCATCCACAGCACGTACTCGGAGCGAGACATTGAGCTTATTTCTACGTTTTGTTCAAAATGAACACAACTTCACAATTTCTTAACATGCTGTAAAACTCTTATGAAGATGGCGGGTGATATGCATTCCTTTCTGCGACCGATTCTTTCTGAGCTGGACGAGGAATGATGGACGGACCATCAGCTGTAAAACAGTTTGTAATTTAAAACCATCGTTTTATTCCAGACGTAACAAAACGAAACAAATGCACCATAACTTCCCCACATTTTTGCCTTTTTAATAAGAAAAAACAAAGAAACAGGAATCGTTTGAATCACATGTAAACAACAACAACAACACGTCAGCACATGCTCAGTTTGAGAAGCAACACGGTATAGCTTAAATAAAAGACATTTCTCCTTGAAGCTGCGACACAGAGGACGTCATGTGACCTGAAATTCCTGCAGTTAATCCTTCAACAGATTGTCGATACGTCGATCTCTTATCAGATCAGCAGTCGTTTGAAGAAAAGGCACTTTTTGGGGACGTCAGGGATCATTTGACTCCCTCATTGTTTCACTGAGTGAGCCGATGCGTTGCACACACATGCACACACATGCACGCACACACATTATCAGCCCGCCTGGCCTGTGGGAGCTCCATAGTGCAAAGTACTGTATGTAAATCGTCCCATAATGCACCTCTCCTCCCTGCTTCTGTTTAAGGAACTGACTGAAACGTTCATAAAGGTGTTTTCACTTTTATTCCTCTAGGAAACAGAAACAAATTACAATTTATTCTCCTTTTTTTTTTTTTACCACAGTGTTTTTTTTTTTATTATTATTTTTCCGTCTGACTAGATGTTTTTCTTCACATGAACCAAAAAGGCTGAAACGTTTTTTTGTAAGACACAGAGCTAACGCGCTTGGATTCGAAAATGTTGTAACACGAAACGCCAGCTGAACTGTTCGCAGTAACACCTGCATGAAGCAGAAACCTGAAGTTTGTCGTCTTCCCTCCATCGTTGGATAAAATAAAAAACTAAAGTCACATTAAGGTTGTAACTGGTCGACAGAGCACTTCATAAGATATATTAAAATTTATTCCCTTCATAAATAAATGCAAACATTCTCTCCCCCACACGTTACCTCTATTTACATTTTGTACAAACGTATTTGGTAGAAACAGGATCTCTGGGCTCACGGGTGACTCCAAAGTCTTTCAGTCCTCGTGTAACCGGCCTCCATCGATGAGGAGGAAAAGTCACCAACTGTTCTTTGGTTCCTTGAACGCAGCACAGGCGAGACCACAGAACCTGAGCCCGAGTGACAGAGAGGGAAGGAAAGAGGGAGAGAAGCAGAGCTTTGGTGTCCATTTTGGAAGCAGGTCTCCATGTTGGCTCACCTCTGCAGACAGGTGCACAGCGTCCGAGCGGACATGTTGGGAGGCTGAGTCCTAAATATTCTTGTCTTTTGTTTGTTTATCTGTATGATATGTGTTTCTTTGGGTAAAACAGGAATGTTTCTATGTGTTTTGGACTAATGACAGCGTTACGCACACACGAGGAGTTCGCACGTGGCTTCCACATGGAAACAGTACAGAGCAACGCACGTAGCTCCTCACAAGATGGCTGCCACAAATCCTAGCTGGCGCAGTCAGAGGCCGTTCTATCGTTTCTCTATGCCAGTGTGTGAGTTTGTGTGTCCACATTAGGAGGCGTTGAGCACCGAGCGGCTGTACAGCGTTTGGTAATAAGCGCCTGAGTCCATGGTGGCCGGGCTCGGACTGTCGTAGATCTGCTTGGCCCCCATGGGGGAGCTGCTGTAGCTGTTGTAGGCCATGACCTGGTCCTGGTAGGACTTGAGGTCCATCTTCTGCTCGTTGGACATGAGGTTGGTGATGGAGAAAGGGTGGTTGAAGTTGTAGTTGGGGTCCAGGGACTTGAGGGCATCGCTCTGGAGGTCCATGTGCTGCTGCATGGTGCTGGGCAGAAGGTGGGAGGTGCTGCTTAAAGAGTGGGAGTGGAGCAGGTTGGAGGAGGAGGTGCCTGAGAGGGATAAGGAGGACGGGGCGGAGGAGGAGGGGGGACTGTGGAGGTGCGAGGACGACAGAGAAGGGCAGTCTAGAGAAACCAGGGTGTTTCTGTGAGGTTGATCGTCCGAGGAGCCCGGATGGGAGTTATCCGAGTGGGCGGAGTCTGCTCCTTCAGATGCACCTGCAGGACTCTGATCCTCCCCCAGGTTGTCTCCGCTGTGGCCCCCTTTCCCTGAGCCCCCTTCCTGGTTCTTGCTGCCCTTCTTTGAGGCCTTGTCCTCGATCTTGAAGCGCTTCTGGCGCCTCAGGTAGCAGCCGTTCTCGAACATGTTGCCCGACTGCGGGTGCAGCGTCCAGTAGGAGCCTTTGCCCGGCTTGTCGGGCGAGCGGGCCACCTTCACGAAGCAGTCGTTGAAGGAGAGCGAGTGGCGGATGGAGTTCTGCCAGCGCTGCTGGTTCTCGCGGTAGTAGGGGAACAGATCCATGATCCACTGGTAGATCTCGTTCAGGGTGAGCATTTTGCTGCTGCTCTGCTGGATCGCCATGGTGATGAGGGAGATGTAGGAGTACGGCGGCTTGGCGTGAGTCAGGGAGCGGCGATACGGCTTCGGGGGGATCTCCTTGGGCCCCGGCCGGCTCAGGGACCCGGTCTGGGTGTAGCTTAGCTGATTCATGGACTGGCTCATGTTCTGGTAGTGGGACAAAGAGCTCAACGAGCCAGGAGCAGGGGGGCCCAGCTGGGTCAGGGAGCCCGAGGTGAGGGACGAGGTCACAGGTGAGAGGGACATGTGACTCGGGCCGGAGCCCATAGAAGTCAGGGGGGAGTTGCTGAGGCTGGAGCTGGGGTACGCCATGTTCATCCCGGCGGGCGAGGCCGTGGCCGGGTTCAGGTTGATGTAGCTGCTCATGGTTCCCATGGAGCCCAGACCCGGGTTCATAACACTGGGGGAGGGATACATCTGCAACCACAGGAAGACAAAAACAAAATCAGTTTCTCTCACACAGGAAGTCTTCAAAACCACGAAGCAAAACTAAAATGTGGATTTTGTGTTTTTGTTTTGTTTTTTTCCACAGGAGCTGCTGCAGAAATCTGCACGACTCCCAGACACACGGTGCAGAGCAGAGGGGGAGCGAGAGCGAAAATATGCAGCAAATAAGGAAGGTCTAAAAAAATAAATAGGCAAAAGCTCCGAGTCAAGGACACTTTGGTCCCTTTAGTTAAATTAAACTCAATTTTTAAGCTTAGATGGTGAAGTTGATACAATCTTGTAGAATTTGGTCACAAACATTCGAACAGAACTTTACATCCTCCATCCGACTCACCAGTTTCTCATCCCAACTAAACTACACCCTGAAAGACAACTTTAGTCCCTAATTATAACTAAATAGTTTTAAAAAACATTTCAAATGTATTTATTCCTTTTCCAAAAAATATTAACCTTCAAATTGTATTTTTTTAATTATTTTGGGCTCTTGTGAAAACGAGTCTCCTGCTGTTTTTACGCACAGTTCCTGTTTAGTGAAAAACTGATTTAAATTATGTTAAAGGTAAATTCAGTGTGAAATCAGCTGTTTGAGGAAAAACAACTAATTAAAGAGTCAGTTTGGGAAAATGAAGTTGCTGACAAACTGTGTTGTTTTATATATTTAGTGTAATTCTTTGAGGCTGAAGGCTCGTGCCTCCAGATCCGTCACAGTTTTACCAACACAAATAAAACCAACGCGTTAAAAGAAAAAGGTTTGAACTGTTTGGAAGCTGCTAACAGGTGTGAAATGTGGAGGAACATCAGCCTGAATGTGCATTAAAAGGCGCCTCGTATCAATGCACAATGAGGCTCTCAGTGCGCGCAGACATCACACCGACATGTCAGGAGCTGAAAATGCGTAAAAAGCGCGTCATGGTGCCTGTGAGCTCAGGCGGCCTCCTGAGAAAAAACAAGCTGCTCAGCACTTTAACCCGAACAGCACCCCCACACTCCCCTGTCCCGTGCTGGAAAACATCCATAATCTGAACAGTTTTAATGTTTCCTTCAAGGTTTGGTCCCGCAAAACGCGTAAAAACGGAATCTCCAGGACCGGTCACTGATTGGTGGTTAAAGGTTATCAGACTCTTTCTTCTGGGTAATTTCATCAGGTTGAATCGAGCTGAGGTGAGAAGTGAAGCTGCTGCTGATCAAATTAACTTTAATTCAATTAACTTTCATTAATTGTTCCGAAATGATAAAAAATAAGTCCCGTTAAATCACAAAACAAACACCAGACTTTTTTTTTCTTGATGCGTTTCTTTGTAATTATTTTATAAATGTTTTATAATTAATGAATGCTCATAATTTGTTGTTTTTTTTATTCTTGTTGCGTTTTTATATTTCGGTAAATATTGATTCCACTTTTCTTAAAAAAAAAAAACTGACTAGTTTCTGCTCGTTTGAACACCCCTGCAGGGGTTTATTGTAATAATCCAAAACTTGCTCAGTTTTCATTTTATCTCAGAAGCGCAACGTTTTTTATCTTATTTTATTTGTGCTCCAGCCTCTGCAGCACAAACAAACTGTTGCTCTTCTTTATTCCAACTCGAGCAGAATATTAATAAAAGCCAGAGAGGGAGATGTGGAAGCAGTTACCTCGCTGGCCTCGCTGTAAAAACTATTCCACTCTGGTAAATCGTGCGCCTCCATCTTCACGGAGCTCAACATCCCAAACACGAGTCTGCAGAGAGGAGCGGACCTTCAGCACTTCACACCGACTCGGACCCTCCGGGACGATCCACACACAGACTGAACGGTCTCCTTCCCGCTGGGCGGGAAACTCAGCGGCCCTGCAGGGGGGGGTCTGGCTCAGGTTGTCTTTTGAATCACTCATCCATGGTTCTGAAACTTTTGTTGGAGTTTTGTGGTCCGTGTTCTTCTTCCTTCTCCACCCGAGGCCGAAGGGACGCAGCTGGTTCCGGACTGGGGAGCAGCGCGCAAACACTGGAGACCTCTGGACCTGCTGGTCTTATAAGGTCCTGCCGGGTCCCGCCCCGCGCTCCCAACGTTTGGAGACCAGGAAGGGCCCCGAGCAAAAGGCCGATGTGGCCCCCTGGCGTGCTGTATATTGGCCCGGCGGCTGCAGAGGCCACCCCGGCGCGCACGCTCCTCCTGTCCACACAGCTGGGGAAGATTTTATTATGAAAAGATCAAATAAAAATAAAATAGGGGAGAATTAATGCGTGTCTGTTAATAACGGGACTTTTTGTGGGCGACACGGTGCAGCAGTGGTTACTGTCGCCTCACAGATTATGTGGCAGGTTCGCCTCCCGGGGCCTGTCTGTGTGGAGTTTACATGCTCCCCCCTCAGTTCCACAGATTAAAGAATATTTGACTAATTCTAATCACAGATTCCTGCCAGTTTGTTTTGTGCGTAAACTGTGTCCGTTTAGAGCAGCAGCGCGCGCGCTGGCACCAGCTCGTGGGAACATTTATTCCTTGAATGCGTCCAAAGCTGCGGCGGGATGAGCCACCCCGGGGTGGTGGACCGGGTTCTGGTGCTGGGGAATCCACATCCGGCCTGGGAACAGACGGAGGCGCGTGAATGTCAATGCCTCAGCTTAATGGGAGGTGAATGGAGATGTAATTGATGCGCACGCGGGAGGTCCACGGATTAGAGTGAGAAAAGATCCAGAGGAGTCAACGGGAAGGAAACCAGCTCAAAAAAAAAAAGTGTTGGAGAGAATTTAACAAGTGTCCTTTCCAGAAGCATCATTTTATTTTGAAGTGATCAGCCAATCAGCTGCCAGCTCGATCACCACGCGGCTCGGTGCTGGTAGTGACGTCATCATTTTAATAATTTTAATAAAGTTTTGGATCTGGTGCAGAACTCCAGATGTTTTAATGTTCAAACTTCTTCAGATCAAAACGATTTTAACTCAAACTTTTTTTTTAAATTTCAGAACATCGGAGGAGCTGAACTCTTGAAGTCCTGGATTTTATAACTATTTGATGTTTTTTTTTTTTTCATTTCAAATTTTGTTAAATGAACCAGTCAGTGTTTAAATAAACAAGACTTAGTTTTTATTTTGTGACTGCATCGCACGTGATTAAGAAACATTTTCAGCGTTGACGCATCAAATCAGCCGGTGTTGGATTTATATTTGATACTTTTTTAATTTAGAAACAAATAAAAAAAAAAAAGAGTTATTTGGTGAAACGGAGATTGAAATTTTGCTCTTATCTCCCAAAGATTAGATGATGAAATAAATGTGTGTTTTTCTTATCATAGCTGACTCTAAACAAACCAGTAAAAGTGATTTTTAACAAGTCTTGAACCAAATGGGTTAAATTTGTTGGATTAAAAAACAAACACAACTCTAGATAATTATAACTTGGGTTAGTTCTAGTTAGCTGGTGCTAACGGCTCTTAGCATCAGATATGACCAACGTTAATTGAAATCTTACAAATTGTTTTTATTAGTTCGTAAAACAGAAGATCAGTCGGGCCTGCTCGTCTCTGACATGACCTCAGGGTCAAACTCTCTGACCCAATAATTAGTCAAACCAACTAAACCTATAATTGATTAATCAGAATAACCCAGCGGTTTTTATTGAGTTCTTGAAAAAAACAAAAAGTTCTTATATCAAAAGTATAAATAAATATTTAGGAAGTTATTTAATGGGTAGAATCTTATTTATACATATATATAAGGTGCTAAAAAGAAAAATAAAGTAAGCTTTGACTGGACCTGCCTTGTCAAAAGTGGGTGGGTCTTGATTGTGCCACACCCACACTTAGCCACACCTTTTCTGTTTTTAACTGCAGCACAATTTTCATCTTTAATAAAAAAACAAGACTTCTTAAGAAGTAAAACACGGTCAGCTACTGTCAGATTGAATCACATATTTAGTTTCAATTCAATTCAGTTTATTTCTAAAGTTCAAAGTCACAACAGAAGTCGTCTCGGGGACTGAACAGAAACGTTTATATATAAAAACAATAATTTAACTTTATTTATCTGAGGAGCAGCTTTGAGTTTAACTCCATCACTGAACTCTCATCTTGAACAAGCATGAAGGCGACAGTGGAAAGAAAAACTCCCTCGTGAGGAAGAAACCTTTAGCAGAACCAGGATCAGGACAAGAGGACCATCTGCTTCGACCGGCTGGGTTTGGTAGGAACAGATACACAATGGCAGGTCAAGAATCACATGTTAATATAGAAATAGTATCAAATGAAAACTATTCAATTTTAACAATTCATTTAAGGAAATTAGATGAATTTGTCCTCCAGTAGTCTAAGTCTATAGCAGCATAACAAGTCAACCCTAACTATAGGATTTATCAAACAGGAAAGTCTTAAACTGGACAATGTGTCAGTCTCATGGACAGAAACTGGAAGTTGGTTCCACAACAGAGGAGCCTGAGAACTGAAAGATCTTCCTCCCATTCTGCTTTTGGAAACTCTAGGAACCACAAGTAAACCTGCAGTCTGAGAGCGAAGTGCTCTGTTGGGAAAATATGAAACAATAATATATTGAACGTAAGATGGAGCTAGGTTGTTGAGAGCTTTCTAGGTTAGAAGTAAGATTTTGAATTCTATTCTGGATTTGACAGGGAGCCAATGGGGAGAAGCTAAAACTGGAGAGATATGATCTGTCCCAGTAACTCCAGTTAAGACTCTGGCAGCAGCATTTTGGATCAACTGAAGACGTTCTAAAGAAGTATTTGGACACCCAGATAATAAACCTTTGCAATAGTCCAGTCTAGACGTGACAAATGCATGGACCAGTTTTTCTGCATCATTTTTAGATGTTTCTAATGTTAGTGATATTACGCAGGTGGAAGAAGGAGATTCTAGTAACGTTTTTAATGTGGGGGATAAAAGACGTGTCCTGATCAAAAATAACACCAAGATTTTTAACATTAGAGCTGGAGGACAGATTAATGCATCTAAGGAGGGAGAAAGACTGAAACATTCATTCCTAAAGTGCTCGGGTCCAAAGACTAAAACCTCAGTCTTGTCTGTTCAAAAGCAGAAAATTAAGGGTCATCCAGGTTTTTATGTCTTTAAGACATGCTTGTAGTCTAAGTAGCAGATTGGATTCATTGGATTTAATGGACAAATATAATTGTGTGTCATCAGCATAACAATGGAAATGTATCCCATGCTGTTTAATATCTTTACCTAATTGAAGCATATACAAGGTAAAGAGTAATGGTCCAAGCACTGAACCTTGAGGAACTCCATGACTAACTTTGATGTATGATGAAGATTCATTACTTACATTTACAAACTGGAATCTATCAGATAAATATGATTTAAACCAATTTACAGCTGTTCCTGTAATTCCAACATCATGTTCAAGTCTCTGTAGTAGAATATTGTGATCAACTGTATCAACTGCAGCACTGAGGTCCAACAGGACCAGTGTCGACACCAGTCCATTGTCTGAGGCCATGAGAACATCATTAGTAACTTTCACCAGTGCAGATTCAGCGCTGTGGTGAGCTCTAAACCCTGTTTATTAGAGATAAATGAAGCAGATTTAGTGAGTCTAACTTCCTGTCGAATCTTTTTGTGAGGCAGTTTTTTAAAACCTTCTCTCAGATCCTGATTGTTCCTGTCGGTGTGAACTGCTCTCCATGTCAATGGGCCCTCGTATCATCCATTATCACTTCTCTAATTGGTTGAACAAAAGCTGTAATGAGCTGGCATTAATGGAGGAAGGCTGCAGGGGCTGGGGGGTGGGATGACCCCCCCAGCACTCAACCTGTTGGGTATGGATTCACTCTCCTGCTCCTGTCAGGGCTTTAAGATCTGAAGCTGTCAGCAGGTTCTGCTGCGCCACCATGTGGTGCTTCTGAAACACATCCTGAGCAGAGGGACCCTGAGCCAGGAGGTAAGAAGCAACTTTAAGACATTTAACTCGTGTTCAGATTTATTTAGCTGGGTGAGAAATAAAAATCAGCTGATGATGTATGAACAAGTCCTGAAAGCAGATCTTAGTTCACTGTCCACTTTTTGTGTCCTCCTGAATAAAATAAAAATGGCCCATGAGCCGCTGAAGGTGACGTTTGTCGCGTTAGTAAAACATCTCAGGACAGATTTGATTGAATCTCAGTTTAACAGTGTTCTAAGATCTGGTGTGGTAGTAGCTGAGAGTCATCCTCAACACATCCTTCAAGAGTGAATTAAAATCACGTGGAGTTTGACCAAAACGTTTGCTGCTCCGTCTCCATGACAACACGTCTGGCGTGAAGGGAGCAGGCGATTCCTTTATGGAACACCAGGTCTTCATCCAAGTGCAGTTAATATATTTATAAATAAAACCCAACAAATGTTTAAGTTTCCATCTAGTTTATTTACGGTTTCTATTTTGTACATGAAGCTGCAGTAAAACCAACAGATCTAGAAAAATAAAAGGTACGTAAAGACAGAAGAAACGCTTCAGAGAACGGAAGGGAAACGAGATTCTGACTTGAAAATAGTTTGTTGTAGTCCGACTTCCCCTGAGGTTCCCAAACAAACTGATGGTGAACGGTTTCAAAAAGGCACTTGAACGAGGGATTGCATGACGTGTCCGTGCATATTCTACTCAACTTTCATTTCTTCCGGGACGTTTTTCTACTTCGGACCTGATCCGAGGGATTTTCACAAAAACCGGTGAGATCCCAAAGGTACGGCGTGGGTTTGTGGTCAAGAAACAAACGTATAGTTTCTATAAAACATTTACATCCACAAACTTCAGGTTATGACCTTTGGTCTGCGCGTGCACATTCTGCACATGAAGGGAGAATCAACCCGAATCGTAAACTCCACGAACTGCTCTGATTAAACGTCACCCATCGAATAAACTCTGAAAAGAGCAAATACATTCAACGTCTGTGCACGAGGCGAAGCTTTACGGAAAATATTTATCTTTATCGGGTGGATTCTCCCTTCAAAACAAAAAGTTTTAAGAAACAAATGTTGTTTTTTTTAATAGACATTTTTCAAACAGTTGCATAAACTACGAATAAAGGATTGCACACATACCAGAACAGCTCTTTACATTAGAGGACATTTAACATTCCAGTATAAAATATAGTCCTGGGTCCATCAATAGATATCTTGTCATATACATTCGGGTTAAAGCGAAGGCTGGATTTGAACGTAAGCAGATATTAAACACAGTCGTGGCTGGTGGACACGCCGACAGAACAACATTCATGTGTCTCTGAGTACGACACACTGGGTTGAAGCGCACGCTGAATAAAACTGAAGAAGCATCAAACACTGCTTTACAGGTTTTAATGACGAAACTTTGAAGGTGACTTTACAGCATCACCTCCTTCTGTGTCGCCTCTCAAAGCTAAAATTAGTTTTAGTCTTGATCCATGTTTTATTTTGCAGAGAACTTTTACTTCTCTGCAGTCCTGATGTTACAGATGTTCGTCAGTACGAACTGTTGCTACGGTTTTATATTCCGTAGCGGCAGCAGGAAAGAAGCTGAAGCTATCGGAGTGCGCAACAGGGACGGTCAAACGTTTAAAGTCTAATTAAACTGGTCAAATCTAAAAGGTCAAGACGTAATTATTTATTTTATAAAACGTCCGTTTCCAGTCCGGGAGTTATTTATCAACACCCATGAATCAACTCTCCACCAAACAACAAACGGGAGGAAAACAACTCGCCAGGATCTGTTGCCGCCGTTTTATTTTGAAAGGGTTATAAAGTGGAACCTACAGTCGCAGGTGAGCGCAGCCTTACTGGGCAAAGCATTCGACGGACTGATGAAAACGAAGGAATAAAAAGTTCCCACGTTAGCAGGGTTAGCATTAGCGCCTGTCTCGGTACCAGAAGCCTCCGTTTTACTGGAGGAGTTTTCAGCTGTGGGGAACTTCACTTGAAGTCCCAACTTCCTGCTTTCAAACATTTTGTTGTGCTGACGCTTCTTGCGCTACAATATTTAGCCATGCACGAGCACAAGGTGAAACAAACATGCGCCGCGAGGAGCACAAAGTTGGTATTTTGTCTGTAGCAGGGGCCGGCAGGTGAGACTGGAGGAACAGGACGATACGAGGTGAAAGTTGAATATTTGAAGACACCCGTCCCCGTGCAGCTTTCCAATAGGTGTGTTTTATCACAAACAGCCATGTCAGCATCAGAGTGACATATTTGAACTTTAACACAAACATTGAAGCTCCAATCCGCTCTGTGCGCACGCTGGACACGGCGACCAGCTTTAAAATAAGGTGCATTAAAAAATAATAATTTGGCCTGACAACACTCCATGTTGTGTTTCAGAGAAACATGTTAATACAAAGAACCGTTTTGTCTCGTGTCTCTCTGCCCCGCTGCCACGAAGACTCAAATACACGTGGACACAAACACGAGAAAACATCATATCGAAATTGTTGCGCCTTCTTTTCGTGTTTTCCTGCGTTTGGTTTGGAGACACGGTCCACCTCAAACAGAACAGGGAAAGTGAACTTTACAAGTTTGGAGTCGAGATTAAAGTGATTGCCCAAGACGAAGGAGGTTTGACTCATAATCTCAGAGTTGTTAGAATTAACCACCGAGACCACTTGCAGCAGAACGTCAGCACCTGGACAGCATCGCAGGATGTGACGCTGACCCCGGGACACTCTCCAACATCAGATCTGTATCAGTTTGGTCAAATGTGCGTTTTCTCGCGAGTGTCCCGTCACGAACACTGAACCACACGGAGCTGCTAATTGAGAAGCGTTATCTGAAACGTCACATATCTGGAACTTGAGCAGTCGAGCAAAACCCCCCAACAAGCAAATGCAACAATGTCGCCCGTTTAGAAACCGTCACACCGTAAAGAAAACAAACCCTCTCGTATCTCACCGGTATTCATCCTGTTGTGATGTTAAGCATCTTTCAAAGAACTCTGATGGTGCTGAGGTTTGGTCAGAGACCACTTTAAAAGTTGTAAATTTTAAACGCAACACTTGTTCTGATGAGGTTTTTTTTTTGTCTACTAATGGCAAATGAAAGGTATATTAGAATTATTATAAGTCAATAAGCTGTAGCCACTGTTCATCTGTTTATTAAAGCCCATTATCTGACTCCAACAGCATCAAACAGGCCTTTATGACCTGCCTGCATAAATAAAGGTTAAATGAAGGTCAAACTTAAACGTTGATAAATGTAGTTGATGAGAAACAACTGAACAAAGAATTGGGAGGCAGAAAAAGTTGTCCTAATCAAACCTTGCTTCAAAAGAGATAATGAGAAGGCAGCTTTGGAAACTCTAGATGATGCTGATTCAACTGAGGTGAGACCTTTGTAATAGAGCCTTCTGATTCGTGGGTTCTTGTGTTGCTCCTCCTCAGTGGTCCAGTGTAGACATCTCCTCCTGTGATGGATCTGATTCAGAGGAAACAAAAAGCCAAAAGTAAATACATATTAAACAGTCCCAGATATGTTCACCTTACATTTATCATGTTTACAGAGTTCATTAAACAGGAAGTACTCCGGCGCTGTGTAAAGGCCAGAAGCTGTCAGATGTGAGGACCTGCCTGTAGCTGTGTTGGGCCCTCGCTGCCACTGAAATCACCATCACGTCTCTCTCTCTTTCTTGACGGTGACGTCCCCACCTCCAGCTGTTCCACTCCCTGATCCAGATGTTGGTGCAGCCCCTGTGCCGACGCCAGACGCAGCAGCTGATGCAGATCCTGCTGCCCCAGTGCCCAGTATGGTGGAGACCTCTCCCTGCATGAAGGCCCACGGGGGGCTGTTGGGAGAGTTATCCAATGGACAGCGCTCACCGCTGGGGCAGTACACCTCCCCCTCACCCCGGCGACTTTGGATGTACACTCTGGTGCAGGGGAAGCAGAACCTACATTTGGAGGAGATGCAGGAGCAACACGTGGTTGACTGGGTGACACATTTACAAATATACAAAGCAACAAACGGTTGTTGTTGCACCAAACAGGTTTATTTAAATCTCTCACATCTACCTAAACACACACACTAAAGAAAAGAGAAATACAAACCTATGTCCTGGTACAGACGGACACTGGACAAAGTGTGTGTCTTCAAGTCTCTCGTGACACAGGGTGCAGGACAGAGGGTTTCCAGTGAGATGGGTGCTGCTGGTGGATGCTGATCCCAGCTCGGAGGCGCCGTTGTTGGGTAACGCTGCAGCGGTGGTGGCTGCCTCTGCGGATGTGCTGGATCCCAGGGGCTCCCCCCCTCCAGACCTCACAGTTGGAGGCCGTGGCTGCCTGGCTGGAGATGAAGCAGGCTTGGGGCTCGTCTGGCTCACCCCTCCAGCCATGGAGAAAGACGACGAAGGCAGACTTGTACTCTTGCTGGAACTGGTGCCAGGCTGGGTCTGTGACTTGGCTTGGTTCTGGGAGGAGCTGAGTTCTCGCTCCAGCTCTGGAGTGATGAAGGGGGATATTCCCATCCCCATCCCGAGCTGCCTGCGGCTCATCTCAGCCAGCACCGGCGCGGGGAAGATCATGGGGCTGCTCATAGGAGCTGTCCTGGCGGTCAGGCCCGCTGGCATGCCGGCTAGCAGCCCCTGGGGAATCCCTGCGATACTTTGAGTTACCAAACTGGGGGGGATGGCAGCGCCTATCATGGGTCTCCGGCTGCTGCTGGGGCTCTGACGGTTCACCTCCGGAGGCGGCTGGCCGTCGCGGTGGAGCCCGTTGGGTGGCACGCGACCACCGGATGATCCGGTACTCTCTCCTCTTCCACCCCTGTCGAAGCGGTCGGTGTGCTGCCTGCCACCGTCCGCGGCGGACTCGGGTCTTCCGGCCAACGCGCCGTGTTTACTCGGAGAGGGACCGGGCGAGCGGACGGTCCCGTCCTGCATGCCGTGGCTCCGCTTCAGCTGTCGGGCGCTCGTGATGAGGAATTCGATCTGGTTGGCTCCCTCGTAGTTAACGCAACCCCGGCACACCACCTCGCTGAAGTCCCACACCACGGTCCACGGCATCTTGGGCAGGTCGCACAGGTAGCACCACTGGCGCCTGGAGGAGGAAGACGGGGACGACATGGCTGCTCACTAGCCGCCTACCTGTTTCACCTGAGCGGCTTCGAACGATGCTAACTCGCTAGCGCCAGTTAGCTGCGGGTGCACGCCCTTTTTTCTGACGGTTTTCTGCCTCAACGGATCCCGCACCGCTTTATAAAACACTCTCACATTTTAAACGTATCGACTTAGCTCCAACATTGAAGCCGCTTTAGCGCTTTCTCGTATATTTGTTTTGTTTACCCGCTTCGGCCTACTTCTTCACGGCTGTCAACGGCTTTTCCAACGGCGCTAGAACGTTACGTAACCACCCGCGGTGAATTGTGGGTGTCTGAGTTTCCTTGCTCGGAGAACCCAACACTGACGTTTCCCGGGAAAACTACAACGCAAACTGACACGGAAGTGAAGCGATTAGGAGGGTCAGAGTTGTTTTTTTTGGCAGCACGTGTGCAGCTCCTCACAGCCATGCGTGTTGAGGTAGAAACCATTTTACAGCTGTAGTTTTAATTTATTTTAAAGACTGAACATGCCCAAAGACACATCGTCGTCGTCGAGCGAAGATGAAGCGGAGAATGGCTCGGAGTCGACAGCACACCGAACAGAGACCAGTAAGATCACCCATTACTGACTCCACAAAATCAGTGAAATGATGGTCAAAAATGACATTTTGACACATTAGGATTTGTCATATTTAGACCAATACACGAATTTTAATTCTACGTATTCTAATCAGATTGCTCTGCTTCAGGTTTGCATTCACTGTTGTCTGGTTTAAAGATAAACTTTATCTTTCCCCTCCCAGAAGGCCTGGTCGTTTTAAATCAAGTGTTGAAATCAAGGAGATATGGGTCCTTTAAACTAAGTCATTGCAAATTATAAAATAAAAGTTCATCCCAAACTCCGTCAACTAGTTCAGTCCAAAAGAGTTTACTCAAGTAGATTTGTAGTATTATTGAAATGCAATATGGAAACGCAGGTATGCACTCAAAGTAAATAAAACACTTTGCTAAATCTGTCTAAAAACACGCGGAGGCTTGAGTCACACGATTCACATACATTGTAGTCCTTTGTATTTTATACTTTGGTCAGGTTTTCCAGGAAAACATGAAATACACCTTTAATGATACTTATGAAAGTTACTAATGATGTGAAATACACACATGCTGGAGGCATTCTGAGTCATCCAGGATACGGTAAATCCAAAAAAGGTTAAAAACAAAATAACTGGACTGTATTTTCGCTTCTCATCGCATTCGAGGAGCTTTAACAATTCAAATAATGGAGAGTGCAGAGTTGGTTATGAGTTGAGGTGTTCTGTAAGCTTGAGTCACATGCAGATTGCTCTGTCACTCCTCACAAGAGGTTCGTTAGGGTCTTCGTTAGTCTGACTCCAAGACTTAACAAAGTCTTGAGTCAGACTAACGAAGTCTGATAACACAACTTTATTGTGAGTGGTCAGATGGGCCACTCTGGTCACATGAACGGAGTTCTTGCTTGGAGTGATAATGATTGGATATCAGACCTATAGCTCCATTATAGATTTTTGATCATTAACATGTAGTAACGTTCACCTGTGCTGTCTCCGTGCTATGGTGAGCTCTAAACCCTGACTGAAACTCCTCGGACAGATTTTTGTGCAGATGTTCACGCAACTGACCTGCAACTATTTTCTCTTAATTTATTTAGATGAAAGTTAGATTACGTAGCTATAGGTCTATAATTGGCCAGAATTCCTGAATCAAGATCAGGCTTCTTAATAAAGGATTAATTACAGCAATCTTAAAGCACTGTGGTACGTAACCATTCATTTGAGACAAATTAAGCAGATCCAAGATGCGGTTATTAATTAAGGGAAATGTGTCTTTAAATAACCTGGTTGGGATGGGATCTAGCAGGCATGTGGATGGGTTGGATGAAGCTATTGTTTTTGACGATGCAGAGAGCTCAACAGAACAAAACAGTCCAAACATAAATGAGGTTCTAGTGACATTTTTAAAGTTGTCTCTCATCTGACATGGAACCAGAGGCGATAGTAGGAAGGATGGTTTGAATTTTCTCCCTAATTGAAATAATTTTATTTATAAAGAATCTCATGACTGCTTGTAGTTGTAGGGATACATGATTCAACATAGATAGGATTTTTAATTAGTCTAGCTAGTACTGAACAGCAACCTGGGGTCATTTTTTATTCTCATTAATTAAAGATGAATAATAAAAAGTTCTAGCTTTACAGAGAGCTTTCTTATATGTTAGCAAGCTATCTTTCCAAGTTAAATAAAATTCTTCCATGTTAGTGAAGCACCATTTTCTGCCTGCTTTAAAGTACGTAACTCCGAGTTGAACCAAGGAGCTGATCTCCTCTGATTGATTACTTTCTTTTTCAGTAGAGCAGCTTTATCGAGTGAAGTTTGCAAAGTTGTTGTACAATTATCAAGAGTCACTGCGCTGTGATGTGCTTTTTTTATACTACTAGGGCTTAGTGTATTTCTAGTTAAAGTTTTTCTTAGATCTTATTACTGTTTTTCTTTTACGTTAATACTTTTGTTGGATGTAACTGGGGCCCTGTGTACACAATTTGTTCCACCACATGTACCACATTTTTGTGCTGAAACGTTTCACCACAAAAACAGAAACTGTCCAGATGACCTGATTGAAAAACGTTGGATTGTATACCTGGATTATTGAGCATGGACTTTGTTGATGTATTACTAAATCCTTAATCTCTATGCCATAAGCAGCTGTACGGACGTTTTGGGTAAAACTAATTGACTCTATAAAATTCTTAAAGTCATCACGTTCAACATCTACATGAATATTGAAATATCCGGTTATTATGAATTTATCAGTATTCAGGAATAAGTCAGACGAACTAAATCTGAGAATTCAGACCAAAACTGAGAATAAGGGCCTGGTGGACGAAGTATAACAAAAAGCAAAAGTGTTTTTTCCGGTTTTTATTTTGGATGAGAACGATTGCATGAAGCTACTGAACTGCTCTTGTTTTAAAATGTAAATTTATTCTGCAGACGTGTTGGAATTTAATTTTTTTTTATCCCATTTTACGTGTTAATGCGTGGCTGGAATAAAACTACAGTCGGTAACGGATGTTCAGAGTGAAGTGTGGTCAGCCTCTCTGATGGGTTTGCTGATTACGTCACGTGTTTGCTTTATGACGAATGAATTAATGTTTTTGTTCGTCTCCCCAGACAAGAAGAGCACGAAGTACGATTGTCCTCAGGATTTTGTGTCTTTCCGCCCTGCGTCGTGCAGCAGCATGCTGCCGGACAACCTGAGGGACGGCGAGAACGAGCTGTGGCTCATTAAAGCTCCCTCCAGCTTCAACCCCAAAAGGTCGGAACACCCTGTTCTCCTTCCATCTTTACCTGCCTCTGCTTCCCGTACGCAATCGAACGCTTTACAAGAACCCCTTCAGAAACGAAACTTCAGCAGCCACAGGCTCAACCAGAAGTAGAATTTTAAACGACTGCAGTTCATCCATTTATTTAAAGTTTGAGATCATGATTTCTCACTAACATAATTCGTTTTGAACGCCACTGTCCGAAGCAGCTGCAGTTTGACACAATTTTTTTATATATTTTTTTAAGACAAAAGCCTTTTTAAACAACTTTTTTCCTGCCATCTCCCATTTTTTGTAGAACAGAAAGTTAACAGCTCTGCATTATTTGTAAAAATTAAGTTTTTTTTTTTATCGTTGACCCGTAAGAAGCAAGATCCACCACCAAGTTGTGGAGTGAAGACGGGGAATTAGAAAAACCATCAGTCTATTCGTGCATGTGAGGATATCTTGAACAATAAGTGAGGTACCGACTTCCATTTTGCTGTGTGGCTACATCTAGGGGTAAGAACGGTTCCCTTCAAAAACTGTGTTCCCTCACCAAAATCCAAGATGGCTGCCATCATAAACGTCAGTCCGTGCTGTTAGCGTTTTTATCATCAAAACACTTTATGTCTGACCAGGCCTGTCACAATAAACAATAAATCAATTAATCGCATATAAATGAAAATTATCAACCTCATTTTCATTTATCGGCTTCATCGTTTCTTCGTGTCTCTCTCTTTCTACTGAAGACACTGGATGATAAAAGGTTCTTCACTGACCCCTCTTTCTCTTTTCTCTTTAAAACCCATTTTAACCGTCCGAAATCGTGTTTTTAGATCGTTAAAAGCAGCTAAGCTAAGCTAAGCTAACAAGCCGACCTCGGGGGGGGGGGGACTCCGTCTTGTTGAAGCTCCAAAATTCACGGTTGAAACCCGTGCCTTCGTGTAAAAAGTTGTTTTCCTCTGCAAAAAGAAGCTGAGAACTTATTTACTGATTATTTTATTTAAATTTTTGTGTGAAAATGCTAAAGAGCTCAAACCACACCGAGTGTCCACCATTTTGAGAACCAAAGAGAGACAGCCCATGTCATGTCAAGGGGCCTCCCTCCCATTGTTCTTAAAGAGACACGCCGCTCGCTCCCTCACTATCCATCCTTCAGTTCAAACAGTCTAATACTGCCATCCAGTGGTCAAAAAAGGTACTGTAGCAAAATAAATTGACTCAAATTTCTTCTTAAACTTGACAATAATGACTAATTATTGTCAAGTTTCAAACAATATTATCGTTTATCGCAGTAATTTCTGAGACAATTAATCGCCCAGCATGATTTATCGTGACAGGTCTATGTCTGAGCAGTAGTTCGTGGTTAGTTTAAAGGTACAAAGTCCCACTTTTTAAACCGTGTCCATCGGAGCAGATATCTTTCTTGGAGCTTCAGAAACAGCCGCTCATGACGTAAACTTCTGTTTCTGAACACTGAACTAAGTCCCGGTCTCTTCTTTCCTGTCTCCCCTCCAGTTTCCGTGGCCTTATGGTTCCCCTCTCCGGTCTTCAGACCCTGAGGGTCCCCTCCGCTGCAGAGACCGGCACCAGCCAGCAGATCTACAGCGTCCTGGCGTCGAGCCACTGCTCCCCGGAGCTCCGGCTCCTCACCAGCGACGGCCGGGCTTCAGACGGCGCCGCCTTCGGCCCCTCGTTTTCAGGCCTGCTGAACGTGTGCGAGAGTTACGGAGACAGCAGCACCAACCAGACCCCCCAGGTCATCCCTGCTGCTCCAGCACCCTCCATACCCCCCGGGCTCAAACAGCGCTTCCACCCCTTCGGCAGCAAAACTCCCACTCTCACCTACGTGGCGGAGAACGAGGCGGACGGAGCCGCCTTCGGACCCTCGTCCACCACCCTCCGACCCCTGGTGGTCAAAAGATTCTTGGAAGAAGTGGTTCATGAGGTAGAGGAGGATGATGAAGACGGCAGGAGGAAGAAAAAGAAGAAAAAGAAAGAGAAGCGGGTGAAGTCTGAGCTAATCGAGGAGATTCTGCAAGTGAAGCAGGAGCCCGTCGATGTGTTCCAGGAGGCTGAGCATCCGGTGGAGAAGAGCAAGAAGAAGAAGAAGAAGAAGGAGGACAGAGAGGTGGAGGAAGGACAGGAGCCCAGGGTGAAGGTGGAGCCGGTGTCCGTGAAGTGCGAACCGATGGACGTTGGTTACGGCGACGTAGCAGAATTCCAAGAAAAGAAGAAGAGAAAGAAGAAGAAACATAAAACTGATGAGGACTGACGGTTGGACTCATTCAGCAGCTGTAAAAGTTTAGTCTCGTGTTTGAAGCAGAACGTGCGCAGCTGCAGGCGTCACCAGCAGGAGGAGGATGAGGAGGAGGAGGAGGATGAACGAGACGCGTCCACAGATCTGCTGTTTGTTCTTGTCTTAAAGAGTCCGAGTCAAGTGACGGAGATGCAGCAAAAACACAAAATAAACACTTTAAATGGAAAATAAAGTTGTTTTGGGTCATGTTGGTATTTCAGAGCAAACAGCAACATTTTCCTCTGAATCCTTGTTGGAGCAGCGAATCTCAGAAGGAAACTTGAATTTATCCTTAAATCCTACAAACGAGTTTTACGACGAGCGTTTCTAAAGATCAGGAGAAAGCAGGACCTTTAACATCACATGGACGTGTGTTACAGGAAACATCCAGATCATCGTTTCCTCAAGGTTCTTCTGTAAAGTTTTTAAAAATTAAACTAATTCTGCTCACCATGTGACATTTTAACTTTATTTACAAAGTTCCCTCAAATAAATTCATTAAGATCTTTGTGTCTTCACGAACATTGTCCTCAACACTTTCTACAGAAAACCGGCTCGGTTTTGTCTCGGTCCACCTTTAACTTGAGCTAAATGATAAATGGCCGGTACTTGTACGTCACCTGTGGATCTGATCGAGACACTCGGAGCTCTTTACAACAACCTGGGCCTCATTTACCCGTTCAGACATCACTGCTAGATCAATAATAAGATTAATCAGCTTTATCACATTCAGACACTGATGGGTCACACATCGGAGGCAATGACGGGTTCAATGTCTTGCCCAGGGGCACTTCGGCACGTGACTGCCGGTGGACTCGAACCCTCAACTCTCCCAATGGAGGACGACTGCTCTAACCACTCCACCACAGCTGCAAATGGCATTTTAAACATTTTTTTACACAGCTGCAGTTGAACATTGTAGATTTTTGCAGATTCTTCTGAAAAGTTAACGGCTGACGATATCGCTAACTTTGAAATGTCAAATATTTCAAAACTTGTCCAAACAAATCACATGAATAAAATGTGCACCAAAACATGGGATTTTTGTCGTCTTGTTTCCGTAGGACTTGTGAGGTTTTCTGTCAACTCTCCCCAGGAAACGAGAGCGAACAGTCACGATGGAACAGATTTCAGTTTTGTAGGATATTCTGCTTAAACTGAAAACCGTAAAAATATTAAAGTTCACGTGTCGGGCTCCTCCGCTGTGGGAGGCTCAAGATTTCTCTTTTAGTTTTCACAGCAACTGTTTATTTGAGGCTTACTTTTCAGTCTTCCTGTCTGCCTCTCATTAACTTGACGAGTAGTAAGACACAGGTGTGTGGTTACCATGGTAACCGCACTAGGCTGCTGGCAGCAGCTTTAACACAACGGTTCATTTAACAGTTTTTACCCAGTTTATTCATGAAAACGTAGACATTTGTTCTCTGAAAATTATAAAGTTTATCAAAATAAGTTTTTATCTCCACATTAAACTTTGCGTCATGATGTTTCGTGTCTGCTTCTCCTCCTCTGCTGCTGCAGAGAAATGAGCTCTTCTGACGGGGAGATGGCGCCACAGACCACGTGGAGCTTCGAGCTGCATCCTCTCAAAATTGTTTACATGTTTTAACTTGTTTTTCATGATCCAACACTTTTGTTGTTGCACATTAAAAGCACAAGGAGAAGATTTTGAGCGTTTTGTTCTTCAGGCGGCGGTGGATCGTCAGATCTTTGTGACACTGACGTGAACATTTTCAGTCTGGGTTCTGCATCCCCCTCTGTCTCGCACCCCCCACCCCAGCTCTGCACCGGAGTGTGGTCCTGATTCTTAATGAGCTCAGGCACCTCTGATGCTGTCACAGCACACACACACACACACACACACACCCTGCACAGGCTGCAGGGCCCATTGATCAGGACGTGAACGTGTCCATCACTCCCACACACACGAGAGAATTTAACAATGTCTTCCACAGAGGGACTGTGGATCGTCTTGCACCGTAACACCTCGTCCTTGTTTGTTGTTTGTGGCAGCAGCAGTGGAGCGGAGGGCTGCAGATGTGAGCCTGAGGATACAGAGGTTCTCCGTGAGGTCAGGGCCTGTGGATCTCACAGGTTTGTTGAATTCACAGCTTTCAGGCCTGAGAGTCGACTGGAACCGGCTCAGCTTGAAGTCTGAAATAAAACATGTATATCATGTTTTTAGACAATGCTGCATTTCACTGGTTCATCACACTCAGCTGATATTTAAAGAAATGAAGGAATGTCTCTTTGTTTTATTTTTTTTTTTAATGCAGTGAAATAAAAATTAATGGAAAAATCACATTCGTTACAAAAAAATCCTCATTTTTGTACAAGTATAAACTGGAAGCAACAGAAAAGCTTGAGCCTTCATGGCTCATGTTTGTAGATTTTATTCATCTAATGGAAGGTAAATCATGAGCATGCTGTTTTGTTCTTTATGTGTTTATCGTTGTATTTTTTATTCTTTGTGTTTTGCAGCAGTCGGGTTTAAAGTACTGAGTGGATAATTATCACCATTTTAACTGTTGGTCAGGTTTGCACGTGGTGTCAATCAGCATCAACAGCTGCTGTCAAACAAAAGTGAATTAAAACATTTAATATTTGCAATCGGTTGCATTAAACAACAGGCCAGCTGTGTTAAAGGCAGCTCGTGTGAATTTTAAACAAATTATCGTTGTTTTCTGAACAGTTTCAACTTTTATTTTGCTTCCACCAAATCCTAATATGTATGTAGCATATATTTGTAAATTACTGTTTTCAATCTTATTTTTTAACCTTAGTTTTATAAGGAAATCAATCTATGGAGATTATTAAATTTTTTTTAAAGATAAATATAATTTTATTACTGATCCTGCAGGAAATTGTTGTGCCAGAGTTTCAGTACAAAGGAACAAACACAAGGAATCACACAAGAGATAAAAATAACAGAGAATATAAAATAGCAACAATTGAGTTCTAAACAGGTGCAGACAGAAACATTAAAGAGTTTATTGTGGTGCAGGATTAATTTTATTGTCCTCTGTGCAGAAAGGGGGAGGAGTTGAAAAGTTTGAAGGACTTCCTGTGTTGTTCTGTGGAGCACCTCGTGGTCTCAGTCTAGGACTGAAGGTGCTGCGGTGAGTTCAGGGTGTCATGCAGGGGGGGTGACATGTTGTTCAGGATCTGGAGCAGGTTCCTCTGCTCAGACTCTGTCAGAGGCTGCAGGTCCACTCCCAGAACTGAACCAGCTCTCCTGATGAGTTTATAGAGTCTGTTGGCATCAGCCTGCTGCCCCAACACACCAGAGCGTAGAAAATGCTGGAGACCACCTGCAGATGTTAAAAGACCTGAGTCTCCTCAAAATTAGCTGTCCAGTCTAGTTTATTTTAAATTTGCAAGGATGTCCTGGGATGTTTGCACATGTAAAGTTCTGTTTTCAAATGTAAAGTTCTGTTTGCAGATGTAAAGTTCTGTTTTGTAGATGTGCAGTTTTGTTTTCCGATGTACAGTTCTGTTTGCAGACATAAAGTTCTGTTTTCAGATGTACAGTTCTGTTTGCAGACATAAAGTTCTGTTTTCCGATGTACAGTTCTGTTTGCAGACATAAAGTTCTGTTTTCCGATGTACAGTTTTGTTTGCAGACATAAAGTTCTGTTTTCAGATGTAAAGTTCTGTTTGCAGGCGTAAAGTTCTGTTGATCATAATATTCTAGTTAATAAATTACATAAATATGGTATTAGAGGATTAGCGTTACAGTGGGTGTGTAGTTACTTGGAAAATAGGAAACAGTTTGTACAGATGAATGATGTGAGATCAGATCTCTGCACCATCACATGTGGAGTTCCTCAAGGATCTGTACTTGGTCCAAAGTTATTTATTTTATATATAAATGATCTGGTTAAGGTGTCTGGAATCCTCAAATCTGTTCTTTTTGCTGATGATACAACATTTTTTTGTTCTGGCAATAATATTGAACAGTTATTGGAATCAATGATGAATGAGTTTGTTAAAATTAAGAATTGGTTTAAACTCAACAAATTATCATTAAACTTGGAAAAAACAAATTATATGATATTTAGTAACAGAAATAAAACTATTGATGTTCCATTTTTAATTGAGGATTCTGAGATTAGTAGAGTTAATGAAGCTAAGTTCTTGGGTGTCATCATTGATGAAAATTTGTCATGGAGGCAACATATAAACTCTGTTAAAATGAAAATATCCAAATCTATTATGATATTTTATAGAGTCAGGTATCTGTTGAATGACAGAGCGCTGTATTTACTGTATAATACAATTATTGTGCCACATTTAATTTATTGTGTTGAAGTTTGGGGAAAGGCGTGTAAATCAATTACAATGCCTATTTTTATTTTGCAGAAAAGAGTCGTAAGAATCATAACAAGAAAGCATTATTATCATCCAACAAGTATATTATTTTATCAAATGAAATTGCTGAAGTTCCATGATTTGGTAGACTATAATATTTTATCACTTATGTATAGAGCTCATAAAAATATACTACCTTTTAATATCCAAATGTACTTTGTGAAAAGATCTAGCTGTTACGATCTAAAAGGGAAAGACGTATTTGTTAAACCACAGTTTAGAACAAGTTTGAAGGGAAGATCTACCGTAATTCAGGGAGTTGGTTTATGGAATGACTTAGTAAAAGAGGTTAAGGATGCTATATCAATTTATGTATTTAAGAAACTGATTAAAATCAAATTGTTAAATGAATATCAATGATTGTATTTTGATGAGTATTGTATGAGAATTGTAAAATATTTTGATTTACTTACTTGTATTCGCTGTTTACAGGAAACGTTTGTTTGAATTGCTTATAAGGAGCAGATTTAATAAGATTTTTTTCTTCATCTGCTACCTTTAATTTTATATTTAATATTTTGTTGTTGTTACATATATGTTGATTATGTTGATTGTTATGTATTTATAAAATGAATAAATAAAATAAAAAAATAAATAAAGTTCTGCTTGCACACGAAAAGTTTTGTTTGCAGACATAAAGTTCTGGTTGCAGATGTAAAGTTCTGTTTTGCAGATTTAAAGTTCTGTTTTCAAATGTAAAGTTCTGTTTTCAGATTTAAAGTTCTGTTTTCAAATGTAAAGTTCTGCTTTCAGATTTAAAGTTCTGTTTGCAGATGTGCAGTTTTGTTTTCAGATGTAAAGTTCTGTTTTCAGATGTAAAGTTCTGTTTGCAGATATAAAGTTCTGTTTTCAAATGTAAAGTTCTGTTTGCAGATGTAAAGTTCTGTTTTGTAGATGTGCAGTTTTGTTTTCAGATGTAAAGTTTTGTTTGCAGATTTAAAGTTCTGTTTGCAGATGTGCAGTTCTGTTTTCAAATGTAAAGTTCTGTTTTCAGATGTAAAGTTCTGTTTTCAGATGTAAA